TATGTATGTTTGTTCTTTTAGCAATCTGTGAGATATTCAGTACCCTTCTCCAATACCACATTTCAAAGGCATCAATATATATCGTTTTATTCTTATTCATGGTCCAGGTCTCACATGTATAACAAGTGATTGAAAAGATATGGCCTCAATTAGCACAGCTTAGTCTTCAAACTGTTATAATAGCTCCTCAGTAATTTGGAGAGATCCCTGACTGCAGACTTTCCTAGTGCAGTATGTCTCTTGATCTCCTGACTCCTGGTACCAACTGTATTGCATGTGGATCCAAGTAAGATGAAGTTGTTGGCAGTTTTAGTCTTCTCTCCATCTGTCATGATATTGCCTATAGGTTCAGTGGTAAGACTTTTTGTTTTCTTGACATTGAGATACAATCATATTGAAGACTGTAATATTTGATCTTCTGTAGTAAATGTCTTCCTCACTTTTAAAAAACAAACATATGTCATCTGCAAAATGAAAGTTATTGATGAGTCTGCCTTCACTCCTGATGCAACAGTCCTCCTCCTCCATACTGCTGAAGATTATTAAAAACTGACTAGGCCAGAAGTTCAAGTTGGATTTAGAAGAAGCTGGAAGTCAGATGGATCCTGGCTGAAAGCAAAGAATACTGGAAGAATGGCTATTTGTATCTTATTGTCTATGTAAAGGCATTCAGTTGTGTGAATCATAACAAAGTTGCCTAACATTGGAATGTGAATCCCAGAACACTTAATTGTGCTCATGTGAAATCTATACCTAGATCAAGGGGCTATTGTGTGAACAGTATAGGGGAATACTGCACAGTTTAAAATTAAGACTGGTATGCTTCAAGATTGTATCCTTTCTCCATACCTATTCAATCTGTATGCTGAGCAAATTATATGAGAAGCTGTACTCTGTGAGGAGGAATGTGGCATAAGATTGGAGGAAGACTCAACTTGTTGTTGTTGTTACATGCCATCAAGTCACCTATAACCCATAGTGACCCTATGTACAGCAGCTCTGAACCTTGTCCTGTCCTGAGCCACTCTCACTCATTCCAATACACCAGCCCCCATTGCCCAGTCACTGTATCAATCCATCTCATCTAGGATCTTCCTATCCTGTGCTGTCTCTCCACCTTTCCAAGCATGATGTCCTTCTCCAAGGACCACTCTATCCTGCCCACGAGCCCAAAGTACGTAAGACGGAGCTTCAAAATCATACCCTCCGAGGAGAAGCTTGGTTTCACCGTCTCCCAGACAGTCCTCTTTATTTTCTTGGCAGTTCATGGTATGTTCAAGACTCTTCTCCAGCACCACAAACTCGAAGGCATAAATTCTTCTTCTGTCACTCTTAGTTATTGTGCAACTATCTGAAGCATAACAAGTAATTGCAAAGACCACAGCCTGGATTAGGCATGCCGTAGTCTCTAGACTGACATAGTTGCTCCTCAGCACTCTGGAGAGGTCTCTGACAACAGATTTTCCCAATGCAATTTATCCTTTGATCTCCTGACAGACACTTTAAAGATCATAAAAAAAGTAGAGAAGTGAGAGTTAAAAGATAGTCCCTCAAATTATTGAGCTCAAGAACCTACTATCATAACTTTGGTCTAGGAATCCAGAAATCCTAGTCACCACTGGCCAAAAGGTATTAATTATGTCATCTCCTCCAAATCTCCATTAAGTGTTTCTTGTGGGTGGAGATGAATTAGCATCAAGATCTGTTGCAGCAAATAAATCCAAGAGAGGTGGTTTTGTTTTGTTTTGAGATCAACAGAGCTTTTGAGGGAAGAGCCCAAGAGGTGGGGAAAATGAGGTTCAGTGATCTCGATCTGGCCAGGTTCTGAAGGAAGAGTGGATATTGAGTGGATGAGGACCCTCTGCTGTTTTGTCCCCACCCTGCAATATCTGTGGTTTGACCCAGACTCCAGTTCACATCACTTGAGTCAGCCGTCTAACACGTGCTTTTTAAGGGATCTTCATGGCAGGCTGCCACCTCTTACCCTGCACCCAAGTCAATCTACCATGAAGACACACTCACCACTTGCACTTCGAAAACACCAAAAACGAGATAGGTTGGTACAGTGACTCTGACAATGGTTTGGAGCAGAGCAGAGATTGTGACAATGGTACGAGATTATTGGCAAGTTTTCATCCTCTTGTACATAGAACCACTTTGAGTCAGAGCCAATGAACAGCACCTAACAATAATAAGACACTTCGGCAGGAAGCCAACCTATAATATACTCCACATACACAGAGTGCTATCATCAGCTGTGCAGCTGAGATAAGAAATGAGGAAAAATTTATCCTTCACAGCTCATCAAGTAAAAAAAGAAAAGGGAAAAAAAACCAGAAAAGGAAAACAAAGTTGACTTTTTACAGATAGGGAGTTTAGTCTTACCAACTGACTGCAAATTTTATTCTGAAAAGTAGATTTGAAGAAAGGACATGATTAAAGACATGTAAACTAGCCTCCTCTCCTGTCTGTTCTCAGCAGTAATGCTTTCATAGGAAACCTTTCTCGTTAGAGTATGTGTTTGTGAATTTTGTATTTGTTTGAGACGGTTTGAAGACCTGGAAACTATTCTGAGTAACAAAGTACCATTTATGTGCATAGTCACTATAAAGAATTTAATAAATTCAATGAGTACATTTTTAAAAAACCCTAAATATAGTTTATGCATTTTACTGTTGTGATTCTGAAATGACTAATTAATTGACAGCAATTCTGGCAAAATCTATTTGCATCA